TTGAACCGCCAGCCTTCTGGTTAGCAGTCAAGTGCTTTAGCCACTATGCTACCAAAGCACTATAGAGAATCGAAAATGTTTCTCAATCTTTCGTTTCTTCTTCTCACTGAATTTTACTGTAGTTTAACCTCCCAAACAACAAGATAGACACGGCCATTAGCTTCAAAACTGACATTTCCTTATATGGATATATTAAAATTGAGATTTTTTTTTTTTTTTTTTAAGACCTCTCTCTAATGGAAGCATTCTGATTGGCTCTGTTCAGTGTGGCCGGGTGGTAGAGTCTTGTTTTATAAACAAACATTCATCTTCCTATTGCAACCGCTGGATGACTGTGGGGTAGTGTCCAGAAAAACTTGTTAGGAATTTTGAGGGAGAAGTAAAACAATAGGTTTCCACTAAACAAGATCAATAAAACAATGTTACAAAATGTAGAACCGCGATTGTTTCAACAAATGTCTGGCATTTCCTTGACTTCCATTTTCTTAAAAGGGAAGAGTCAATTCAGCTTGCTGACCCAACCCAAGTCACTATGACATCTCATTTAATATCTAGGGCATTTCAAGCATAGATCAACCACTTCCTGTGTTCCAGATAGAGTTTAGTATTGCTTTCAATGCAAAGCTACTGAAATGAGTAAGTAAAATGTGTACAGAGGTTTGGGCAGTAATTATAAATGTAATAATTTTTCCACTAACTGTTACTTTATGCTAAGAAACAAATTCCTTATACTCTAATGTCATTTGGAACTGAAAGATCAGTGAGAAACTCAGGGATATTTACCAGGTTTTCTCTTCAGCATATGTTCTGCTTCTATTGCTGTTATTTCAGAAACTGTGGTGAAAACATGAGCACAATGAACAGAGGCTCGCTCCATGCAGTACCGGTGGTAAATCTGCCTTTCCCCGGCCTCTTTGTCTATATTAAACTGTTTAAAAAAAGAAAAGAAAGAAAGAAACATATACTTTTGCTTACACTGTCCCTTCTTCTACATAAGCAAAACCATGTATTTTTTGTTTTTCCTCAGAACTGTGTGAAATTTTATTGCCCAAAAAAGTACTGATTTTTATTAAATCCATTACTAAAAATAGGAGCTCTGGTAGCATAGTGCCTAAGGCACTTGACTGCTAACCAGAAGGCTGGAGGTTCAAACCCACCAGCTACTCCTTGGAAAGAAGGTTGGGCAATCTACTTCCGTAGTGATACTGCCTGGGAAACCCAAGGAGGGGTCTCTATGAGTTGGGTCCAACTCGGCGACACACAACAACAACATTACTTAAAATACATAACTATTTACGATTATAAAAGAACTATTTACTTAATTTCTGCTTCTAAACTGTTATTTAATCTCCTTAGTAAGTGATATTTCCACTTTGCCAAATCATTTGCCCTTGGGTCAATTCTGACTCATAGCAACCCTATAGGCTGAAGTAGAACTGCCCCCTAGGGTTTCCAAGATTGTAAATCTTAACAGAAGCAGCCTGACACTTATTTCTTCCCCAACCTGCTACTGGGTTCAAACCACCCACCTTTTCATTAGCAGCAAGCACTTAACCATTGCACCACCAGGGCTCCTTCACTTTGCTCTAATCACATAGAATTCTTGATATTTTGGTATTTTAATTATACTTTAATTTACCCCAGATTTTACAAATATTGAGTTAATTCCTCTCATCAAGGTCATTTATATAGTTTTTCCATGAACAATGAAATAAAGCTGATATTCGACTTGACCCTGAAAATAATGTGACTGGATTCATTCATTCAACAAAGCTTTCATTCAACCACTGTTTGTTGGGTGATTTACAATATATCTGTTACCCTCAAGGAGTTTATAAATTAGTGGGAAAATGGACAGTAAAAATTAGACAGAAATGAGTAAGTGTCTGAGTAAGGTATAGGATCAAAGCAGGAACAAGCAACTCACTCTGGCTGGGAATAGGAAAACATATTTCACACTAAGTAATATTTCTTCATGGGAGCTCTGGTGACATAGTGCCTAAGGCATTTGATTACTAACCAGAAGGAAGACTGGGGAATCTACTTCCATAGAGATACTGCCTCGGAAACCCAAGAAGGGGTCGCTATGGGTCAGAATCGACTTGACGGCAGTTCTTCATCATCATTGTTCTGGTTACCTAGTGCCGCTCTGACAAGAATATACCGCAAACGGGATAGCTGAACAAACGGGAGTTTATTCTCTTATAGTTTGGAGGCTTTAAGTCTGAGTTCAAATGCCAGGCTCTAGGGGCTTAGTGAAAGCCACTCAACCTTGGGCTTCAAAAGCTCTGCCTTGTGCTCCTGGCCCACTGGAGCTAGAGGCTTTTCTTCACTCAGACAGCTGCTTCCTGCTGAGACTGACAAGCCTAAGGTTGACAAGTAAAAAGGCACAGTCCCAATGTTACCAAAACACATGGCAGGCCATTAATTCAAGTCCATTGTAAGTCCCAAGGTCGGCATAGCATGGCAGGCTGCAGAACAACAACTGGGCTACATGCAGGGTTCAAGCATGTCAAAAGCTAGAGACTGTTCCCAAGGCTTCTCCTTATATACAGGAAGCAGACCAGGTCCCTAAGGCAGCTAATCAACTGCTCACAGTAGATTCCACCACGGAGTTGATTACCAGTCTCATCATGGGGAATGACTACAGCCAGCTGCCTAGCCACTCAACCAGGCCCAGCCAAGTTGACACACAAACTTAACTACCATAATCATCATCATCAATATTTGTTCATATTGTTAGTATCACATCTACAATTTATAATTTTTAATATGTACAATTTTCAAGGATCAAAACTTATTAATCTTTGTATTTTCAGGTTCTTTGGATGAAGAAAATGGCATTTGGATTGAGATGTGAAAATTTAATTTGGAAAAAGTTCATTTCGGGCTGAAACTCTCACTCATTGCTGTCGAGTGGGATCTGACTCATAGTGACCCCTCCTTGGGTTTCTGATGTGGCATCACTACAGAAGTAGATTGCCCCAACTTCCTTCCGAGGAGTGGCTGGTGGTGAAACTAATTGACCTAATTAACAAGTAGATAAAGTAATATGGGGTATGCAGAAAACAACAGGAGATAAAATGTGACTGTAACTTTGAATGTAGGATGTAGGAAACAGGCTCATAGGAAAGAGAGCTGGTTCCCTAAAGTCCCTGAAAATGAAACTAGGAATTTAGACTTTGTCCTGTACACAGTGGAATGCCACTGAAGAAGTAAGACATAATCTATGCTTAGGAAAAGTAACTCTGGAGAAAAGTATGAAATAATAGCCCACTGGGTTTTTACGAAGATTAAACGAGATGTTACATGTCGAGTGTTTAGAAAAAAGCACACCAAAATTAATCAATTAACTTTAGCCACTTTATAATTTATTATTATTATTATTATTTTGGTAGAAAATGTTGTTAGGTGCCATCGAGTAGGCTCCGACTCATAGTGACCCTTTGCACAACAGAACAAAACAATGCCCAGTCCTGTGCCATCCTCACAATCCTTGCTTGCTATGCTTGAGCCATCATTGCAGCCACTGTGTCAATCAATCTCATTTAGGCTCTTCCCCTTTTGCTCCGACGCTGTAATTTACCAAGCATGATATTCTTCAGGGAATGTTCCCTCTGACAACATGACTAAGTGGGTGAGACAAAGTCTGGCCTTTTGCACTTCTAAGGAGCATTCCAGCTGCAGGACAGATATGTTCGTGCTTCTAGCAGTCCATGGTATTTTCGGTATTCTTTGCCAACATCACAATTCAAAGGCATCAGCTCTTCTTGGGTCTTCCTTATTCATTGTCCAGTTTTCACATGCAAATATTAGTTTGTCCAAAAGAATTTTCTTGTGCTTTAAGTTTCTTTGAGGTAGTAGTATAACTTTCCGCCACTATATCCGAGTATTAATCATGTTTTGCACAAACACTATATTCTGTTTCATAGAATCTTAGAACTTCTTACAATCAAGAGACTTTTGAAACTAATTTTTCATCTTCCTAATTCTACTGATAAAAAACAAACAAACAAAAAAAAACCAAACTCACTGCCGTCGAGTTGGTCCTGTCTCATAGCAACCCCTACTTGGGTTTCTGAGGCAATATCTCTAAGAAAGTAGATTGCCCAGTCTTCCTTCAGAGGAGTGGCTGGTAAGTTTGAACCACCAGCCTTCTGGTTAGTAGTCAAATGCCTTAGACACTACACCACCAGAGATCCTATTTTACTGATAGTGAAACTGAATTCTAAAACGCTAAATCACTATTGATTTGGTTGGCAATATTGACCAAATCTGCAAACCTCATGAATCTGTGGTGCTAAAAGAGGTTTGCTGATATTATTGACACAATATAAAAGACATACACATTTTAATTCAATTTAACCAATGGGAAAATAGAAGAAAGAAGTCTAAAGTGAATGATATTAAATCATAGAATTGAATACTTTCTTATGATGAACAAACAACTATTTGGTCACCAAGAATCCACATTCCCGTTTTCAATAACTTCTATCTTACTTGGGCCCATAAAAACTCCATCTACATCTAAATGTTTCAGTTACAGGTGATATCTGACCTATAGACTGTACTAGAGCTTAAATTCTAAAGCACTTGGGTTTGTGAAAGGCAGTGGGAGCCCTAACTCCATTTTGAGGCTTGACATAAGTTTCAAATGCCATGTGGATTCTGTCTGACAATTAAACCAGTATTGTGGCTATGCATAGACAAGTTCCAGGACAAACTTAAGGAGCGCAACTTGCCTTCAGGAAGAATGTGGTTGAAAGTAGATGCCTGAGTGTGTCCTTCTCTAATTTAAACTAAGGTTGGGATCTTGGTATTGTTTGGTAGCCACCTTGTGGCTAAGACTCAGGTTCCACGGTCATGAGTCACAACCTGTCTGCACCACCACCTACCCAGGTAGTCAAGGCTCAGAACCAATGCTGTAACCCTTTTCTGTCCTCAAGTATGTACGTATCCTAATAATGGTCTTTTCCTCAGTTCTGTAGTCCCATCTGCAATGATGATGAATTGATCTGCCACCAATCATGATTTTGTGATGATTCCTTTTTTTTTTCTTTTCAGCCATATATAAGGAGCTCTGGTGGCATAGTGCCTAAGGCATTTGACTGCTAACCAGAGGTTGGTGGTTCAAACCCACCAGCCACTCTGTGGAAGGAAGACTGGGCAATCTACTTCCATAAAGATTTACTGCCTTAGAAACCCAAAAGGGGTCGCTATAAGTCAGAATCAACTCGATGGCAGTGAGTTTGGTTTTAAGTTTTATATATAATTAACCTCATGGCCATTTAGCTTTCTGTATTGTGTACATGCTGATGGCTTCCCTCATCCTGGATGATTGTCTTTGTTTTGTCTCTGTTCTATTCAAGGCTTAATAAAAGTGTCTCTATTGAACCTATCTGAATCTGGGGTCTCTTTTCCCCTATTACAAGACCTATAATGTTGCTTCCAGTGAGTCATTTGGAAGATTGAGAGGACGTAAGGCTCATAGTACAAGTTTATATGCCGAGAATCCCTGCTCTCCAAATTCCACTCAGGGTTGTGTGTACATTGAGAGTCTTCACAGCATTTGCCAAGCTTCAGAGATAGAATGGGAGCCTGACCCTATGTCCAAGGCATTTTTTGTTGCCATCTTCTATATTGTTTCCTTTTGCTCCAAAGGGAAGGATCAATTGTTCCAAAGGAGGACTGAAATCATGCTCCTCACCTCTAAACTCTAATTTACTGTACTCTCAACAAAGTTAAACTATATGAGTTGTCTGGCACCCAGGGGAATCTTTGTCATGAATATTGATTAATTAAAAGGGCATTTCTGCCATCTGGCTGGCAGATGAAAGGTAAAGATCAATACTTCTCATCCTTCAGCTTCAAGCATCAGAAAGAAAGCCTTACTAAGTACGGGGGAGGAAGGAAGGACTATTTACCTTATCTAGATGGTTGTAGAAATCAATGTTAGCTGCACATAGATACCTCCCAAGCAGAGTGGCGTGGGTGGTAAATATTGTTGCAATAGGAAGTTTCCGGGCTCGGGAAAGGATCAGTCCAGTTCCAGACTGCCACTCATGGAATTGGGCAATAACGTGTTTACCATCTGCATGATCTGTCACCTATATTGGGGGGGAGGAGAAAAAAATAACTTCAGAAAAGTTGTTGGTAATGCTTTACCTTGCTCATGTCCCATAGCATAAGAAAAGTTATCACACCTGTACCTTTTATTACCATTTAAAGGATTCTAAACATGAAACATGCAGATTTAGCAAGGGGAACATGTTTTATCGGATCCAGTGACATGTTCATAAAGCTCAGATATTTTATGTATTAATACTGTCTTCTAGCAAAGAATCCTAGTTATGTTTGTATCCACAGGTGGTCTTCATAGAGTAAATACCTAGTAGGCACTCAGTAAATATTTGCTGAATGAATAATGAATTTTCAATAATAATACACTTGAAGATAGCATTTAGCTGTTGGATCTATATGTTCTACCTACTTCCAAGCTTCTTTTTAAGTGAACATTAAATATATGTCTTAGGTCAGTCTTAGTTGGGTTTTCTGTTCTTCGCATCCAAAAACATTCCAAAAGACATTATTATTTTAAGAACATTGAAGTAGGGACAAAAAAGATTAATAACTTGCTAGCCATTTAGTAACACACTGAAGATCCACATCTAATTCCTCTAGACCAAACCAGACTGTTCATAAGTTTCTTCACCTTAAAGTGTGAATCTTAATCTTATTTCATCCGTATAAAAAATTAACATTCTCATTTCATTCTCCTTTTGAGTCATCAGTCTCCTTAACATTTACAAATGAAGTAGCATAGATAATGTAAAACATCTGAATCCTTATCCTTCTATCTATCTTGACTTCAGCAGCAGTCAAGAAATGAAATGACTTACTGTATTAGGTGAATTTGCTGCAAAAGACCTCTTTAAAGTGTTAAAGAGCAAAGATGTCACTTGGAAGACTAAAGTCCACCTGACCCAAGCTATTTCTTTTCAATCACCTCATATGCATGCAAAAGCTGGACAATGATTGCAGAAGAATTGATGCCTTTGAATTATGGTGCTAATGAAGAATAATAAATATACCAAGGACTGCCAGAAGAACAAAAAAATCTGTCTTGATGAGGTACAGCCAGAATGTTCCTTAGAACCAAGGATGACAAGACTTTGCCTCTCATACTTTGGTCATGTTGTCAGAAGGGACCAGCCCCTGGAGAAGGATATCATGGTTGGTAAATTATCAGTGAAAAAAGGGAACCCCTCAATGAGATGGATTGACATAGTGGCTGTAACGATGGGCTCAAGAATGGCAATGACTGTGAGAATGGCGCAGGACCTGACACTGTTTTGTTCAGGTGTACATAGGGTTGTATGAGTCAAAACCTACTTCACTGGCACATAACAACAATAACAAAAGGCTAAGTGGGAAGTTTGGAGAGTTAACACAGGACAATAGTTTTCAAACTTTACCATGCACCAAAATTACCTAGAATGGGTGTTAAACACTGGTATCTGTGATCCCATCCCAAGATAATGTAATTCAATTGTTCTAGGTACTAATTTACATTTCTAACAAGTTCCTAGGCATGCTGATACAGGAAACCACTCTTTGAGTACTAATGATTTATGCTAAGACCTTCCTATTTAAAAGTACCTGTCTTCAAAGAGTTCTCTGCAGCTATTAATAGTTACACAGAACCAGAAGTGTAAAGATATGGCAGCAGAAACAAGGATTTTCCAGTGGCTCTGGATTTTTTTTTTTTTTTTTTTCAGTGTCTTTAAACCTTTAAACCAGAAAACCAAACCCACTGTCATGGCCTCCCAGCAACTGTATAGGACAGAGCAGAACTGCCCCCATAGGGTTTCCAAGGCTGTAAATCCTTATGAAAGCAAATTGTGTCATCTTCCTCCTGCAGAGCAGCTGGTGGGTTTGAGCCACTGACCTTTTGTTTAGCAGCCCAATGCTTTAACCACTGCTTTAAACCAAAGGAAATCTCAACTTCTGGAACTGCTTTCCTTGGAGAAAATTGAGTTTCTTCATTTCTTCTCTCCCCTTATTTCTCTTAAGAGAAAGGCTGACAGCAAACATACAGGTATGTGTGCATAAACACACACACACATACACACACACTGCCTGGTGGTTGGCCTTACCCTTGGGGCAATAGCTCAAGGAGGCAAGGTACAGAGGAAAAAATTTTTCCAGCAACTAGTGCTAAAATGACATTGAGTATCTATCATTAGGCCAGACTCTGCCAGCATCCCAACTGTTCTATCTTGTCACCAACTACAAAGGGACACTAAGTCGGTCTTCTTCTCTTCAATGCAACCATTTATGGCCATTGAAATCTCACTTTATCAGTAAGAAAGTTTGGTTGAGGGGAACATACCCCCAATATGCAGTTCTGTAATTTGTTACACACCCCTACTTTGCTAGGGTTGCACCTCTTGTACCATCTGATTTATAGGCTATGTACAATCACTTTGAGGAAATGGTTATAAAGAAATCCTTTTGCCAGGCTTTGAGGAGTTAAGAGAATATAGGCTTTGCTCATTTAATAATCCATAGTGTTTTTGTAGCATAGTGCCTAAGGCATTTGACTGCTAACCAGAAGGCTGGAGGTTCCAACCTACCAGCCGCTCCTCAGAGGGCAGATTAGTCAATCTACTTCCATAGTGTTACTTCCTCAGAAACCCAAGGAGGGGTCGCAAGGAGTCAGATCCAACTTGATAGCAGTGAGTTTTGTTGTTTTGCTTGAGTGCTTTTGTTAGGTTGCTGAATATTTTCACATTACTTTAAAATGTTATTACGACAATCAATAACAGCAACATCTCAAAATGTGCTTAATCTAAAGATGATAAGGTGATTACTGGCCACTGAACATAGTCATTCTGTTCCTCTGTTTATAACTATCCAGTAAAACATACCTCTTTTAAGAACCAGGCAGTTAAAGATCCAAATATCAGCATGTCATTGGCTTCTCGATCATGATAAGGGATGCCAACACTGCATGCTTCCCAGAGGTCACCCTTCCATCTGTCCAGATTCCAAGCTGAATAGCCGATATCAAATAGCACCACATAAGGACTCCCTTCTATTAGCCATCTTCCAAAATGCACCTGCCATAAACAGAATACAGAGCCATGCTGGAATATCAAGTAATACAAGTGAGGAAAATGTATTTGTACTAAAGAATATAAACCATATTTAGAACTCAACAGCAGATAAACAAGCTACACAGAAAGCCTTAATGTTAGTCCAAATCATTTGATGTCTAAGAGTGAAGATAAAGATGTTTGCATCTACTCATCTAGATTCACCAAGTTCTTGCTCTTCATTACACTGCATCATTTAAAAACAATGTCTCTAGATCTTGTAATCTCTGTTCTGTTCCTCATTTCCCTCCCTGTGACTTGGATATAAGATTTAGTATTATGATCTTTGCTTTTACGACAGTCATTAGATGAAATGCTCTGTATATTTAACGAACCTGTCATTGGATGTGTGAAATGTTTGAAATGCCAACCTTTGGCACACATTAATAATGCTTATTAATGTTTACTTCATGTCAGGTAAATGAAATAGACTGTGTATAAAACACTCAATTATTTTGCTTCTTATACATAAATAATGAATCCTGGTGGCACAGTGGTTAAAGTGGTTGGCTGCCTACCAAAAGGTGGGTAGTTCAAACCCACTAGCCACTCTGGAGGAGAAAGATATGGCAGACTGCTTCTGTAAAGATTGCGGCCTCTGAAATCTTACGGAGCAGATCTCCTCTCTCCTAAAGGGTTACTATGAATCAAAATTGACTTGATTCATTGGCAATGGGTAAAGTTTTTGGTTTTTATATAGAAGATACTCAATATACATGAAAAAAGAAAAGAAAAAAGTATCCAGGAAAGACTAATAGTTAGAATATGACCATCATGCTTGGTAAAATAGACCATCATGCTTTCACTAAAAGAAGAGAAACCTCCTTCAAAGCTCTGCCCATCAATTCAACTGTTAAATAAATCTTTCTCCCAATTGCCTCCAAGATTCTTGCCACTGTGCCCAATTGCACAAACGCTGAAATAAACCAACCCAGGCGCTCCAGCTTTTCAACTTTCTGCACTTTCACTGAGTTGCTGATTGCTGCAAGAGAGTCACAGGGTGATGTATATTTGTACCACAAAAAATTCATGATGTCCAGACACTCTTTTACATATCCTTGAATATTTCTCCGGAACTTCTTCCTTCAAATCCTCTTATTTTAACATATACCTCCTCACTCTCATCCAGTAAATGGTTGCTATCAAGTCAGTTCTGGCTCCTGACAATCTCATGTGTGTCAGAGCATAACTGTGCTCCATAGGGTTTTCAATGACTGAATTTTGGAAATAGATTGTGAAGCCTTTCTTCCAAGGGATCTCTGGGTGGGTTTGACCCTCCAACCTTTCCATTAGCAATCAAATGTTTTAACTGCACCACCTCACTCTCATAAAATGACCTAAATTCCTCTTTCAGTAGGTAAGATCATCAAAGCCATTGGTGATATCATTCTAAATTCTTTATCTATTTGCATTCATCCTTTACTTCTTGGTTGAGAGAAAAGGATGAATAATCCTTTCAATAGTGCTTTGGATCTTGTCCCCTCCTCCATTCTCAAGGACTTTAAGTTCTTCAATGATCCATTTACTTTGAGTTTTCAAAGTCTCCCTTTTTAGAACCCTCCAGATCTATACTTTCAGTAATTATATATGCTAGATCTCAGCCATATTAAAAAAAAAAAAAAAAAAAAACAGTTCTCAAAACTGTTTAATTCTTCAACTACTGTATTATCTCTTCCCTTCATAGAAAAATCTCATAGACACAGCTTCTGTATCTTTATTCTCATCTCTCATTCATTTCTCAACCCACGGCAATCTGATTTAACCTCTTCCTCTTCTCTGGAGAAGCCCTAGTGGCATAGCGGTTAAAGTGCTCAGATGCTAACTGAACCCATAGACCACTCCATGGCAGAAATATGTGGCAGTCTACTTCTGTAAAGATTTACAGCCTCAGGAACCTCATGGGGTAGCTCTATTGTATTCTACAGGATTACTATGAGTCTGAATCAACTGGACAGCAGTGGGTTTGGTTTGGGTTTGGGTTTTCTCTGTTAAAACTGTGCTTAGTGAGGTCCTTAATGACCTGAATATTGCCCAATCCAAATGAACCCGGTCCAATCTTCTGTTGACTTAATGCCTCCTTCACACTTGAAACTCTCTCCTTCCATGATTTAACGTTACTATTCCGATTGAGGCTATAATAAGTTACTGTAAACTTTGAGACTTAAAATAACACAAGTTTATTATCTTACAGGTTTGGAGATCAGAAGTTTGAAGTGGGTCTTATGGGCTAAAATCAAAGTGTTAGAAGAGCTGCATTCCTTCTGTAGAGAACATGTTTCCTTGGTTTTTTGAGCTTCCAGAGGCTACCTATATTCCTTGGCTTGTGGTCCCTTCCTCCATCTTCAAAGTGTCTCACTCCATCCTATGCTTTCATTGCTACATCTCCTCTCTGACTCTAAAGCTACTATCTCCTTTGTATAAGGGAGCTCCTGGATAATCCAGAATAATCTCCCTAACTCACGACTCTTAGTTTAATCATACCTGAAAGTCCTTTTTGTCAAATAAAACTACATGTTCACAGCTTCTAGAAATTAAAAGTTGGACATCCTTTGTTCTACATGACTGCCTTAATTTTACATATACAGTTTCAGGTTTCTTTTAACGTAGATATTCTAACATGTTGGCCTTCACCAAGGTTTGTCCAAAACTTCTGCGCTTAGTCTATAATCTCCCACTGAATAATGTTACCAACTTATATGACTTCAACTACAATTTAAATGGATATGACTTCCTCAAATACATCTCTACCCTGTGCCTTCTGGGAAACTTCAAATTCATCCTACTAGCCATTTCCCCATGATTTTTACAAGGTACCTCAAATGCTATCCATTTAAAATTAAGTTCTTTTCCCCCCCTCCATAAGTAGGTGAACGGTCTTCTTTTGTTGTGAGCTTACGCTGATAGCAGTCTGTTTTCCCATAACAGTTTACTAAAAGTTGCCCAGAGAAGTGTTGAAGGGTATCCTTTACCTGGCAGCCATGCTTATTCATTGAGTCCACTGCTTTTCGAACAGCCTCATTTATGGGTTCACATTTTTCTACCTGAGTCTTCATATTATGTTCAAAATATGGACCTATCAGAAAATAATTGTCTCCCCACTCATCTGCTGTTGTTTTAGCCTTTGTCTGAATCACAGTATAGATGCCACCAACTGTTAAAAAAAAGAAGAGTCCATTACCATTCAGGTTAATATTCATTCCGTTTGTTTTAAGTGATGAAGGGATAAAATATGTTCCCATTTAAGCTAACATTTAGGATTCACTTAGCACAACATTTTATTTAATTTTCTAAAAGAGTCATATTGAAATTTTTTTAAGGAACAGTAACAAATGGTTGCTACTTGGTCTAATTCAACACATAATTTTAAGTCTCTCTGGTTGCATGTCATAAAGTAGCAGGTTAGTAGCAGCAAAAAATTACAAACATTTCAAGGAAATCTGAAGATATAATTGGGATAAAGCAGAATGTGGCTTAAAGCTCCATTCACATTGCCATGTCAAAGTTGGGACAAATAGCCGTTTTCATGACAAATACCCACAGCAGCAATAGCCTTACCCTGCTCCCCATCTACAATGGTCCAAGAAAGGGCTAGGACATGTCCAAGCAACAGAAACTGCTGAAATTATGAGTAAATCTTCCCAGGCAAATAGTCACTTCCCAACTAAGACAACAAGCAAGATACATTTAGACAATGACGTTACTCTGAAAACTAAGGTGTGCCTGATCCAAGTCATGGTATTTTCTGTGGGCTCAGAAGTATGTGAAAGCCGGATAACAAATAAGGAAGGCTAAAGAAGAATTGATGTATTTGCATGGTGGTTTTAGCAAAGACTCCTGAAAATACCATGAAGTGCCAGAACAAACATTATCTGTCTTGGAAGAAGTACAGCTGGAACACTCCATAGAAGCGAGAATGGCCAGACTTCATCTCTCATACTTTGGTCATGTTATCAGGAGGGGTCAGTCTCTGGAAAGGGATACCATGCTTGGTAAAATAGATAGTCAGTGAAAAAGAAGAAGACCCTCAATGAGATGGATTGATAAAGTAACTGCAACAATTGGCTCAAGCATAACAATGACTGTGAGGAATGCACAGAATTAGGCAGTATTTTTTTCTGTTATACATAGTCTCACTATCCCATGGCACCTAACAACAACAGCAGTATGGGAGCAGGTCCATGAGGGGGTAATAACATGAGTTATCACACTGGGTGACACCAAACCTAGAGACATGACTGGTTATTTTGACCCTATTTGGAAATAGTTTTTCTTTTGTTATGTTAATGAAGTGGTGGGTCCTAAATAATTCCTTCTGAGTGGTAGCTTATAAAAAAGGGAAGACAGTCAAAGAGAGTCACACACACAGGGAGAAGACCTCTTATGAAGATCCATCTACAAGTGAAGGAATCCTAAGAAACATTTGGGGGTGCCAGTAGCTGAAAGAGACATGGAAGCAATTTATATATCAGCCTACATAAATTAATTGTCTTACCAACTTCATCTCTAAGAAAATAATTTTTACTATATCTAAAAGAAATTTAAATAGTCACTTAAGCAGTATCTAATAATAAGGTCACTGTCAATTATAGGTCAGATGGCAAGAGTTGAGGTCAGCATGGAATACATGAAGAGGATCTACAAAACACATTTATGAAATGTCTTATTCATATTTTTATTCTTAAAAGTTCTTTTATTTGCACCTTTGTGTCTTGCTCAGATGTCTTATAACAACATCCTTGTTCGTTAGATTTTGTGTTTCAAATTTCAGTGAACTTGGGTAAATACAAACACATTTTTGTTTGCTAATGGACATAACAGAGGACAGAAATTCTTTATTTGGAAAAAGAAATGTTTACATTTGGGAATTGAAATGCAAAGATAAACATAGCTAATTAATTTGCTACTTTTGTTTTTACTAGGTAAGACCTTCAAACATGGTATAGATAGTCCCTAAAGACTCCACAGCAACTAGTAACAACAACAAATAGCCTTAGAGTGTTTATAAATACTATGACTATGCTCTTTCAATGTATTTGTTGTTGTTGTTGTCATGATGTGCCTTCGAGTGGGACCCGACTCATAGCGAACCCTCCTTGGGTTTCC